GACAGACGCATCACATGGCAGACGCATCACATGGCAGACGCATCACATGGCAGACGCATCACATGGCAGACGCATCACATGACAAACGCAGGAGAAAACGCCCTCAGACAGGGGAATTAACATTTGTGTTGTTGATTTAAGAGATGCTGAACTGTTCTACTTCATAAACATTGAACCAAAAAATCAGCATTTACAAAAATTAACAAACCCTTATTTTAGAAACCGTGTCCACTTTTGCAAAGCAATGTCCAACTTTTAAATCTGTGCTCAATGAACTGTTCAGTGAAATTTAATTAACCAAACTTTGTGTCATTGGCAACATAGATTGTTTTTGTTGTTTAACATCCACCAGACAACACTCATTTCATGTTTAAATGTTGAGTACATACGTCACATGGGAGAACATGTTTCAATCTCGCTCTCGCATAAGTGTTCCCAACTCAGAACAATACGCATGTCCAAGGTAACTAGGATACTGGGAGGTCAAGGTGGATCAAAATAGCTGCTCACGATATGACGAATTACAAGAACTATATTTTCTGTACATTTTTGATGTATTACATTTTTTCACTATGATAGTGGTAAGTCATGTTTTATTGTTTTATCACAAACCTTGATATATGTCATGTCAGAAGGACATGGCATTAGTCTCGCTATCTACGAGATGAGACTTTAATGGGTTCTTGACATGTCATCATACAGTACTATGCAAACCCCAAGTAATGTACCTCTGGTTCAGTACAGTGTGATGACAGTTATCAAGATGACACTACTAAGTATGCACAATGCCAGTTCTGCATCCCCTTACCGACCATGCAGCAGAAGTCAATTTCAAACATATGGAAACTATGAAGATATTCTTCGACTAATCTTATCTCAGACACATGCCAATAATCTACTGCACGTGTTACATCCTCCAAGGTAATGGTTTCTCTGTTAGCATCATTATGGAAAAAGTTTTCACTGGAGGAAGAACACACTCAATTTTGGGGGTGATCTGGATCATTGTTAGGAATTTTTTGAAGATTTTCTTTATCATAGTATTTTTTGGAATATGTGTATAACTGACAAATGTACAGAGTGTCTGGCTACAACTTACAGAATAACATCCAAATAAATATATTAAAGTTTGATCTGGATCCTGGCAAAATTCTGGATACTATTATTCAGAGCAGAGAAAAATGAGGAAGGTCAGTTGATTTTAAAATACCAAACAACGAAACAGACACACAACTAACAAGAAATTGTCGCCAAAACTCTGCTGAATCAGTACAGACAACAATGTGATGCATCTTCAAGAGTTATAGAGCTTGATCCTAAATTCAAAAAATATAATTTTTTGGCATATAACTATTGAAATAATAGAGATAAAAGTAAAATTCCACATGCATAAGTTTTCATGTTCAAAAAATCTGATAATATGCATAAAATTGATGTAGGGGCATTATTAATTTTAGGTACAAGTTGCAATATTTGGAAAAACGTGCTGCTGGTGGATTGGTCAAAGTTTTGTTTTATCCGAATAAATTGTCAAATAATGAGTTCAACGTCAGCCGATAACCGCTTGAATCGCACACATACTTTATAGTATGATAATGAGCAACAAAACGCATATCATAGAACACAAGGTTATTTGAATCTTGAGAATTAATTCATCATTTTTTTTCATTTCAACAATATTTTGAAATTACAGATTAAAATTGAGATATCTTGATTGTGATTTACTTCTTCTTCTTGTCTGTTAAACCGGCCGCAGTGTTCGCTTTGAATAGAACGATGTCGCCATCTTCTACAACGTAGTTTCTGCCTTGTTGTCTGTACTTACCTGCAGCCTAAAATATAGAAAACATAAACATAGTATTGAGACATGCTAACGCATGATTTCAAACATCATGCAGGCCTATCAACTGGATTGCAAAACTTTGGGTTCGTCAAGACAGAGATGTGACGTCTACTAATAGTTCACAAATGTTTGGCAAAATTTAAACAGGTAAACGTATCTGTTTGGAGGATGTTACAGAAGTTTTCTTTCTGTTTCATGCATTGCATCATGGGAGAAAAGTGAACAAATAAGACATTTTTATCAAACAAAAGCCACAAACTTAGAAAATATCTTGTGACCTATTTCATCAACTAATAACACAATAATGGCAGACATAATAAGACTATTGCTGATTATCTTTTGCAACTACTGTATGTGGACATGCAAATATGCCAATGTTAGCATTACTTAGATAAAAGTTTTTTTGATATCTTTATAAAGATATAAACTGTATATAACTTTGAACGTAATAGATTATATAAACATTTCTTTGGCATTTGAAACAACTACTGTTACCTTTTTATTATTTATTACAATAAAAACATTGATTTTATGCACCACAAAGAAATGCATTTTAAGAAAAAGAGGACAAAGTGCGTTGACCCAGAAATGTTATCAGTTAATGTTGCGTTAAAAATACGATAATTTGTTATTCTCACCTTTGCTGCAGCTTCTGATCCCTCAGCTTTGAAATCCACATACTTCATAACTTCAGCCATAATAAAACCTTTTTCAAAGTCGCCATGTACTCGTCCGGCAGCTTGCGGTGCTTTCGTTCCTTTCTGATACAGCAAATAAGGAGATAATTTGATTATATTCTTTGCACAACTAATATTTCACCAGCAACAATTCAAAGTATCATGGCACAGTGTCATCAGTATTGCAAACTGTAACATCTGTTGTTTTTGTTTTCATCTCTGCATTATCGGAATCATAACATTCAAGGTGACAATGTGCGGGGCAATGTCGCTAATATACAATGAGTGTTTCGAAATGTACAACTTGAGTGTCAGTTGAAGTTTACTCACACCC